CGGGCTTTAAACGGACCCAAACGGGCAAGTTTGCTTAAGCCGCCTTGTCTTCAACACTTACAGAAGATGAGGAGGTTTAAGCAAAGATAGCACTTAGATTTTTTTTTTTTTTAATCTTATGTCTTTTCTCCTAAGAAGTTGGCAGTGGCAACAATAGATGGATGAGGAAATATGAATTGGGTGTCTATTTTTTGAATTTATTGCATGTTTTATTCTTATTCTTCAAAACATATGGACTCCATTCCTGAATTGTGTATCTGAAAAACAACTATTGGCCGTTGAGTAAAAATGCTAGATTGCAACTGATTATAGTGTACTAAGAAATAATGATGTTTTGCCTGCAGTTGTACTTAATTTGAAACTAGAGGAACTAAGGATTTTGTTGTGTATGAATTGAATTGAAATTTGGAACAAAGAGTACAACCAACCCCAAGTGCGGTATTTGTGTAACTTCCCCAAACTTAAATTAGCAGTCCTACGCTCCTATTTCTACAAACTTATCCATCACTTACTTCGCTGCTTGTGCCTCCTCTCTCTTTCTGGATTTCCTAAGTTGATTGTCCAATATTACAATATGGAAAGGCAAAGAACAAGTAAATCCTTTGGTGACTTTATGAAGGAATTGCGTTTTTCTATTGGAATTGCGTTGAGGGTGAATAATGCTGGTTAAAGTGTTTGTTTGAATTTTTTGATGCCCTGAAGACTACAAGAGGATCAATGGGAAGTAATTTGCTTCGCATAATCTATTAAATTTTCAAGAAAAAATTAAAAGGAATGAGTTGCTTCTCTTGCTATATATGCTATATCTGTAGTTTTTTTGTGTGATAATCTTATGACAAATTCTTCAATGTCAGGTATTGATGTTGTGGTTGACAGTTGGGGTGTAAACTTAGAAAAAGATCTAAAAATCATAAGCAATTGGGGCATAGTGATTTTTGTTGACGCACATGGACCCTCGACGGGAAACATGGTATTTGGAACGGCAATGGCCAAGCAGGCAAGAGTTTGAGGTAATTTTATAATTGTCGTCAACTTCATGTACTTGGACTAGTTTGGTTACAAGATGTTTATGGGGTTTCACCACCTTGGCATTATTTAATCTAGATATCTTTTTCTGGTTGCTTTCATCATTGACTCGTTTTTTGCATTAACAAATTAATTTATGAGCAGTACGGCTTTTGGCTTGTGGATACAGTGCTTAATAGTTAATAGATGGTTCAAAACGTTGGACAAAGCAGCAAATTTTGTTGAATTTTTAAAGAAAGAAGTATGGCCGCCAGAGATTGAAAATGGATCTGCGAAGCCTGTGGTGCACAAAACACTTCGACTGTCTGAAGCAGCAGCTGCTCACAAGCTTATGGAGCTCACTGACAATTATCAGAATCTGTACTCAGTAATTTGACGCTTTGTACTATGGCTTGAGCATTATGCCTGTACTGGCAAGGTAGCAGGACATGTTATGGGGAAGATTTTTTGCTTATTCCTGACTTGGAAAAGTCCTGAAAATCCTAAATAGCAGCACATGCCATGGGAAAGATGTGAACCCCCGCTTCCTAACCTGGTTTGTTCTGTTTTATTTCCCAAACACTGTTTCTGAAGTCGGGTTTCAGCTTCATTTTCTGAAGTCGAGATTGTAATGACCGGGGAAAATGGGCAACTTCTTGTCGGTCTTACCTTCCTCCATACAGGTAATCAAAGGTCGGAGCTATATGGATGACGGACGGGCATTGTTTTGTCCAGTCCAACTTGGTTGTTTTTGTTATCGTTGTTGCTAGACTGATTGTATATGGCCTGGAATATTTCATGGTTTATGTAACATCTCTTATGGTGCTCCTTGGAGATTGTAAGGAAAATGTTGTCACTTGTCATGTGGTATTTGTGTTGCATTTATAGATTCAAACAGGCGCATTTGTAAAGCCCATTAGTCAGTCATCAAAGGGTTGTCGAATGTCCACTAATTTACAAGTGCTCGTGGCTGCGTCTTCTATGGAGGGTGCAAGAAGTATAATTGTACAATTTTGGAACGTAAAGGAAGTTGAATCTTTACTAATTAGGCTGTACCTAGTTTAGCGGAATACTCTCTATTTACAGTGCCTTTTTTGGTGAAATACTTTATGCTTACAGTGCCTCTTAAATATCCTTTGAATCAAGGTAAAAAAGGGATTACACTTATGAGGTCTAAATTTCCTTTGAATCAGGAAATACCAAAACGAGTGCTCAGAAGTCGTAGTATTTGAATTTACAAGCTTAATTCGTAAAATATATCCTAACATATTTGATCTATGCAACAGCACACGAGCCTAATTACCATTATGAGATCATAAATTTAAGGGCTAATTACGCTTTGACCCCTCTCCCCCGAGCCTCCGAACTTGGTCCCTATTAACATTTTGTCTCCGTTAATTCTAAATATCTGACGACAATTAATTTATTGATGATTAAAATACACTTATATTTTGCAAGATCAAAATACCAATGACTAATTTTTGAACACATGTAATCTATTATTTGAGATTTTTTTGCTATAACACTTTTTTTTTTCAATGTGATTTATATGAGATAACTCGTGATTGAAAAAATAAAAATATAATGAAAACGTGTTTGGAGAATTTCTAAATTTTTTCCTGAATAATTTTGAATCCAAACAAAATATGAAGAAAGGTATGATTGTGGCGCAAAAACACCAACTTGCATTTTATTGACTTAGGAGAATCTTGTGAGAGTTGTAAGGGAAGAGAAAATTATCAAGACCAATCAATTTTTAATATTGAAAGGAAGAAAGAGAGATGGTGGAAACTCTTTGATAGAAGTTATGAAGATTTCTCCTTTTTGGATTAATCTTATATATACTGTTATTGTATATACTATCACCATTAAATATATGACACATGTGCAAAATTTGAATTTGAAATTCAAAATTTGCTCATATATCATCAATCTAACCATGATAGTATATATACTGATAGTGTATACAATATTTACTCATTCTTTTGACTTTACAACATAATTTTTTAACTCTCTGGTGTTCTGCTATCTTTTACCTTTAGATTTTGATTTAGCTAACAAGCACTAATGGCACTCATTAAGGCCCCATTTGGGGTTGTAATAGCTTATAAAGAAGCACTTTTAACACAGATACTTTTAACAAAAGTACTTTTAAGTTACCAAAATTTGGACTCCTTAAGTTACAAGAAATTAGTTATCAAATACCATAAAAATGGAGGGAGGGTGGAGAGGGATAGATTGGATGGTATAGGAGTAGGAATTATAAGTGAGAGATTCTGAATTTGAAACCTCTTATTAAAAAAAAACCCTTAAAGCATTCACATAAAATTGAATGCATAGTTACTTTTTTGAAAGTAAATTCGACACATTGGACTAATGATCTACAATTTGTTTAGTATGAGTACGAACACCAATTACAACTTTTGAAGTGACTAATTTCTTTACTATTAGAAAATACAGTTGTGAGTTATAATTGACAATTTCAAACAATTCTCTCATGGTTTCTGGAAATTATACACCTCTTTTTTGGGCCTAAAATGACTGTTTTGACAATTTTTTCTGTATTGTCAATGATGAATTTGTTCTTTTGTTAAAACAAAACGTAAATATTTTCGTAATATCAGTAAGAACACCAATTGCAAGCAATAGTCCTTTACAAAACCAATTGCAAGTTTAGTAAATTGTTAGGACAAATTACACTTTACCCCCCTGTGATTTAGTATTTTTTCTACATAACCCCCCTATCGTTTTAAAAGTTATATATAACCCCTCATGGTTTGAATTAAAGTGTCAAAGTGACGGAAATAATCATTCATAACAGAACTTTTAAAATGTCGAAGTTACCATCATAAATATATGACACACTAATCCCGTATGATTTTATGTTTTACCATATAACTCCTTTATAATTTAATATTTTATTATATAACCCCCCTGTGGTTTTCAAAATATATACATAACCCTCTTTGGTTAATAAATAATTTTCAACTTTACATAAGGGTATTTGTAACATTTTAGGTGACTCCGTTATGAATGATCATTTCCGTCCCTTTAACACTTTAATTCAAACTATGAGAGGGTTATGTATAGCTTTTAAAATCATAGGAAGTTATGTAAAAAATACTAAACTACAGGGGTAAAGTGTAATTTGCCCAAATTGTTATTATCTCTAGTTTTGCATTCTTTTCTGTAAAGGTCGACCATCCTTCTTTAAACTGAATTAGATTTGATCCCATTGTTCTTCTAGCTTTGTCCGCTCCTTGATGGTTCAATCATGCACCTCCATCTCATAAAACCATCTCTGTGACAAAATTTTGTGCGTCTTGTGTTTCATCTTGGTATGCTAATGTCACTGTACAGAAAATGTGCAAATCCAAAATTGCGACAAACAAAGAAAGATGATCTGATTGAAGACGATATTCTCCACATCCCAAACCTGACATATATGCTTAGGATAGCATGTTGGTAAGTGTTGACTCTTCCACTCGAAAGACCACAAAAATTGAGCTTCCGTTTCAAAGATAACAGTTGACATCCTACTTCCTAAACAGCGGCTAAGTTATTAAGCTGCATGCTTTGATGCTGCTTCTGGCCAAAAGACTTATGGTAGTTTATTCCTATCAAACATCCACAAAGTGCTTAATTGAGTACTTACAAACTTCACGATTGTTTGAAACACGGCCATACGGTTAACTAGTGCAGGTGCACTAGTGCAGGTGGTAATATAGCCTACCATGGAGGATTACTTGCAGCTGCATGTGTTGATGATCTAAAGCCTTTGGAGATAAAAGGGTTGATATTGCATCATCCATTTTTTGGCGGGACCAGGAGGACTGATTCAGAATTGAGGATGGCCAATGACAAGGTAATACCACTTTGTGCAACTGATTTCATGTGGGAGCTAAGCTTGCCAATTGGCGCGGATAGAGACCACGAGTTCAGCAATCCGATGATGGAATCAATCCGCAGCTATTTGAACTGATCAAGGCTCTGGGATGGAAGATTTTAGTCATCGGTGTGCAGGTGATCCATTGATTGACCGTCAGATTGAGCTGGTAAAGAAATTAGAAGAAAATGGTGCATCAGTGAAAGGTAAATTTGATGAGGGAGGATATCATGGCTATGGTTATGTTAATCCCACGGCCAAAGCAATAACTATGGTTGTAAAAGGGTTTGTACTATCTTCCATCACTTGTTGAAAAAGATTAAACAATGAACTCTGAACCATGGAATATATGGAAATAATACGAGGTTTTTTTTTTTTCTTTTGCTTTTAAACAAAAAATGCAGATCCATCTTTTTGCCAAAATTAGTAGTTCATAGCTTTCGGGATACTCTTTTCCTATTGTCTTCTAAGTATTTCATCATTTTGAATGCAAGGCTCTATATTATAAAAGGTAGTCCTTGAGCAGCAAATTCTGGAATATTGAGTTATTACTAACTATACTACGCATATCAGAGTACCCCCCCCCCCCAAAAAACCCCCAAAAAAAAATGCAGTGAGAATCGTGTTTAGAGAATTTCAAAATTTTTCCCAAATAATGTGGAATCTAAACAAAATGTAAATAAAAGTACTATAGTAGAATGAAAACATCAATTTGCATGTGATTGACTAATGGGAATTTTGTGAGTTGTAAGGTAAGCGAAAATCATGATCAAGGCCAATCAATTTATAGTTTAAAGGAAGGGGGAAAAAAAAAAAAGAAATAGTGGAAAACCGGTGCAGAAGTTTTCGAGATTTTTTTAATTTTTTTTAACTTTACAACATAATGTTTTAGCTCTTTGGTATTTTGCCATCTCGTAGTTTCAATTTTTTCGATTAGGGCTAATGGGCAACCACTAACAGAGGCATCAAGTGTTAGTTTTTTTGAAAAAAGTACAATTAATTTTGGAAAGTATCTAAATACAGGAATGCAATAATTGTGAATTTAGGCGCATTAACCGTGCTTGCTCAGCCGCTAGAAAAATTCTTAAATTTTTTTATATCAATGACTAGTTTTTTCTTTTTTTCTAGTCAAATGATCCACATTCCCACATAAAGTAAGTATTAATCTCAACTATTATGTATAGCATTAATGTCATCAAGTTAAAATTTTGTATGGAAGTTCATTATTAATATTTGACTAGGCAATAAAGCAGCAAAGTATATATATTTAAAGTTAAAGGGAGCAAATTATTATGAGGGTAAAGTTCGAGGGGACAAACTATAATTACCTCTTAATTTAATGAGAACGTTAACCTTTACAACCATGACACATTTATTCAATTTCTACTAATACCCACTTTTTTGGCTGTCCTACTAAATTGATCATTGATCATTACCAAAACATTGATAAAACTATCTGCTTCTGCTGTTTAGATGCTATTTGTGAAAGCTAAATTGGATCTGTGATTGGAAAGACATCCATTGCTAGAAAATGCTAATGGAGTAGCTACTTCCCATTGAACCATAAGATGCATTTCGAGCCCTGAGTTTGTCTTCCTATTGAGCTAGCCTCAGATATGTGGTCTTTTTCATCTTTTGTCATAATAAAACTAGGGGCTTGCGATGTTAGCCTAACTTGTGGGAAGGAAAATATAAAGTTAGATCAGTTAATGTAGACAAGCATTTTGAATTAAAAGCCTAGATCAATTGATATATTGATCCTCAGCCTTTGACTGTCAAGGGCTAGGTCTCAAATCCCAAAAATTAGTAGCTAATTAAAAGAAAAGACAAAATCAAGATTTGTTGATGATAGAAGAAGAAAGGCAATTGAACAAGAAAAGGAGAGTTTTTGCAGAGAAAGGGAATTTCCAATTCAAGTACGAGGTAAGTAGCAACGTGGGAATGAATAAGGTCATTTGAGCATACATGTCTTGTTCCTCATAACAGGTTACATGGCAACAGCCAGCACTAGATGCACATAGACTTGAAATGTATTGGTTTTCCTCGCCAATTGATGACCTATCTAATCTCCCTGACTAATAATCTAGAATCTGTTTAGTATGTGTGACTGGCAATTAATAAGAACACCAATTATAAGTTTTGAAATGACTAATTTCTTTACTATTAGGAAGCATAGATTTAAGAGATAATTTCAGAAAGAGGTTTCTAACAACTCCAAATACTTCCCTCATGGTTTCTGAAATTACACACCCCCCCCCTCGATGGTCTAAAGTGACTATTATGTCCCTTTTATTCTACTGAAAACAATTAATTTGTTCTTTTGTTTAAAAATAAAAAGGGCAAATTACACTTTATTCCCAGTGATTTAGTATTTTTGTACATAACCCCCTATGGTTTCAAAAACTATACATAACCCCCTCATGGTTTGAATTAAAGTGTCAAAGTAGCGGAATTTGCAATCCATAACGGAATCACCTAAAATATCAAAAATATTCCTATGTAAAGTTTAAAATTATGTATTAACCACATAGGGGTTATGTGTATATTTTGAAAATTATTAGGGGATTATATGGTAAAACATTAAACTATAAAAGGGTTATATGGTAAAATATAAAATCATACGGGGTTAGTGTGTCATGTATATTATGTTTATATATTTTGGTTACTTCAGCAGTTTTAATTGTTAAACAAAGGTAATTTCGACATTTTAAATGTTCCATTACAATGATCATTTCGTCATTTTGACGCTTTAATCCAAACCATGAGGGGTTATGTATGGCTTTTGAAACCATAGAGGGTTATGTACAAAAATACTAAATCATACGAGGGTAAAATGTAATTTGCCCTAAAAAAAACTTTATTCATTTAGTAATTTAAGTAAGACACCAATTGCAAGCATTAATCCTTATAAAAACTATTGTAAGTTTAATAAATTATCAATAAGTTAGCTCTACCATGCTTCTTTTCATTTTGAAAAGGTTGATAATCGCCTTTTCAAAAACTGAATTAGATCCTAACGATAATAGTGGACAAAGGTTTAGCAACCTTGATGGTTCAGTCGTACTTCCCCACAGGATCATCAAACGATATTCCGAGTAGTAATCCCTTTACCCTTACTCAAAAGGACATCCAGGTTAGCAAATCCAATTCGTGGATTATTAACCCGCTGAAGCAGTTGAATCCTCTGCATTGACCAAATTTACTCAAATGATTTTCTTTCATGGAGGAGGATTCGTGCAATTTAGTGCAACCTTAAATACTATTGGCAATTTCTGCACTGAAGCCATGATTGGATTAGATTTTGTCTGGTACATGATCCTATTCTGGCTACCTCTATTCATTGACATTTCATAGCCAAGACCATGTACATGGTACTTACATGTGCTTCTCTTTTTTCTATGCTAATGTTACTGTACAGAAAATGTGCAAATCCAAAAATTCGACAAACACAGATGATTTGAATGACGATGATATGGTCCACATCCCAAACTTGACATATATGCTTAGGTTAGCATGTTGGAAAATGTTGACTCTTCCACTCTAAAACGCCAGAAAATTGAGCTTACGTTTCTAAGTTGACATCCTTCCTAAACAGCCGTAACTTATTCGCTTCATGCTTTTGATGCTGCTACCTGGCCAAACGGCTTATTATGTTAATTGCTATCGAACATCTATAAAAACTTGAGTACTCATAGAACTTCACAATTATTTGAAACACAACCATACAGTTAACTAGGACTAGTCAGAAGAATGTCTGATATATCACCAGTCGATCCTAATATTGATCTATACGGCTTCCTTGGCATCATCCGCTGTCCTGATGGCACAATCAGACGTCTTCCAGGACCAGCAACCCCTGCCTCATCCGATCCAGAAACCCTTTACACCTTTCAAAAGACATATCTATAAACCAACACAATGGCACTTGGGCTCGCATATATGTACCCCGGGAAGCATTTGACTCCTCTCCGGACACAAAATTGCCTGTGATAGTTTACTTTCATGGTGGAGGATTCATTGTAGGCAACGTATCCACACCTCTGTTTGACGATTTGCACACTGAACTCGCGATTGAAATCCCAGCAGTGATCATATCAGTTGACTACCGCCTTGCTCCAGAGCACCGACTTCCGGCAGCCTACAATGATTGCCTGGAAGCATTGCACACGATTAAAGATTCCAACGACGAATGGTTGGAAAAGTATGCTGATCTATCAAAGTGTTTTCTCATGGGCACTAGTGCAGGTGGTAATATAGCCTACCATGGAGGATTACTTGCAGCTGCATGTGTTGATGATCTAAAGCCTTTGGAGATAAAAGGGTTGATATTGCATCATCCATTTTTTGGCGGGACCAGGAGGACTGATTCAGAATTGAGGATGGCCAATGACAAGGTAATACCACTTTGTGCAACTGATTTCATGTGGGAGCTAAGCTTGCCAATTGCGCGGATAGAGACCACGAGTTCAGCAATCCGATGATGGGAATCAATCCGCAGCTATTTCAACTGATCAAGGCTCTGGGATGGAAGATTTTAGTCATCGGGTGTGCTGGTGATCCATTGATTGACCGTCAGATTGAGCTGGTAAAGAAATTAGAAGAAAATGGTGCATCAGTGAAAGGTAAATTTGATGAGGGAGGATATCATGGCTATGGTTATGTTAATCCCACGGCCAAAGCAATAACTATGGTTGTAAAAGAGTTTGTACTATCTTCCATCACTTGTTGAAAAAGATTAAGCAATGAACTCTGAACCATGGAATATGACATTATGGAAGTAATAGGAAGTTTTTTTTCTTTTTCTTTTGCTTTTAAACAAAAAATGCAGATCCATCGTTTTGCCAAAATTAGTAGTTCATAGCTTTTGGGATCTTTTTTTCCTACTGTCTTTTAAGTATTTCATCATTTTGAGTGTAAGGCTCTATATTCTAAAAGGTACTCCTTGCGCAGCAAATTCTGTAAAAGTGGGATATTAATGCTAAGTACATGTATCAGAGTGCTTACCCCAGAACAGGCCGATATTAGACAACGTTATATATTGATTTGTTTGGATAGGGTATTATTTGAAATATTATTTGGAATAATTACTGTAGCACTTTTTGTAATGTGATGTATGTGAGATAAAAAGGTAATTGGGAATATAAAAAGGTGGGTTGGAAAATGTGTTTATGATGCAAGCGAAATATTATTTGAAATAAGTTTTGTATCCAAACATTATTTTTCAATTATTTAAGTTGAATACTTAAAAAACACAACGATAAATCCCATCACAAGGAAAAGTTCTAGATGTTCAAAGTTTCCCATTTTCAACATGGCATGCATTAATTACTGCATATGTGTACTCACGAGAATCCTCCTAATTGTTGAACTCTGAAGAACAGAACTTCAAATGCCAACCTATATCCTAAGTAACAAGCAAAAATGCCAAATCACATTAAGAAATTCAAAAGTATGGATGCACGGAATGGGAGTCCCTCGAATCCCCTGGAACATACTGAATAGGTCTGTGCTTGTACCTCAAGGTTATGGTCTACATGCTATTGGAACTGTGTAAATCTCATTATATTAAGAGATAGATGTCATTTGAAAAGTGAAATAAACTAGAATTCCAGATTTTTGCAGGAAATTTGAAGTTTTCAGACTCTACTAATTTACAAGCGTGCACCAAATAAATTTCAAAACATATGATATTTCGCCACTATACTGATAAGCTTCAGTTGGATTATTTTATCATTTATCAAGCTGATGGCTTACGCATCCTTAGGCTGAAAGCCTCAGATATGACCATGTTATGCCTGCTGTGGGAGGTGACAGTGACAGGGAAATGTAAATTGATAAAACTTGAGACTTTTACCACTATTAGGAGCCTGGTATGAAGCTAAATATCCACCAGACTTCAGAGGAGAACATTGATGCTGCAAACACAAACAACTTCTACCAACTGGTGTCCATTTTAAGCCATTGTCCTGTGATAGATGCAAGTCATGTTGAGCAATTCACCTTCCTCTCTTTAAAGACTCCCCACAAATATAACAAACCATTCCAATCTGGCAAAAAGGAAAATGCATAATTAATTAAGGCAAAAAAGAACAGGGAGAATCTATTATTTTGTGCATGTTCAAATCTAGTCTTCAAGATTAAAAAAAAATTAAAAATAAAAAGTTAATTCAGTTCATACAGTGGGAACTTTCAGGAAGAAGGTGGGATGAGAATATAAGAAGCTCAATCCGGTCGAGCGAATTTCCTTTTAGAGCTATATCACAGTCAACCATGTATTGCACCAAGCTCTTGTAGTTTATATAGCTGCATCAGAATGAAAGAATTTAGTATAAATTCTCGAATGATTACAATTTGAACATAATGGGAGAAAAAAACAGGAAGATCATACCTTTCAATGTCTTCTGCAAAAATGTAAAGGCCAATACTATCATCTTGGGGATAATATTCCTGGAACTGAATAGGCCATGCAGTCAAGCGAGATACTTCCTCCAAAAGAATTTTGTTGGAAAAGTTCTTTACTGCTTCAGGTATTTTGGATGATGACATTGTAGACAAGTGTGCTTGAATTCTATACAAGATTCTGGGCAACCTTGAAGAGTTCTGAATTTCGCATTCACCTCTGTAAGAATTTTAGAACATGCATGTGAAACATCTTAGATTTCATACATTCTGCAAGAAGTGCACATTTCTAATTTAATTAGAGAGCAAAATTGTGTGACTAGAAAAGAAAACACACTTCCATATGTAATCAATCAAGGAACAGCGAACGCCCTATAAGCATCAATCTGATTGCAACATGATGGACCAGCAACTATCTGGCTGCTTCATCCATATCCTTCACCCTTGTTGTATCAAGAATGGAAAGTGAAGAACAGTCTAACAGGTGACAGTATGAAGCATGATCCAAACTTCCAGTTCTACCATAGTCTTCACTTCCACTTCCATTTGATAAACATTTATTTGCTGAGGTGAAAGGAGATGTCTGGGGGCTTTCTCAGTAACACTGGAGGATGTCCGTAGCACTGTCAGTTTTTTTTCTCCAATTGCATCAGACCAACTACAAGGATTTGTCGACTCCAACAAGCGATGAGATGTTTCACCTTTCTGCTTTGCCTCCTGAGAAGCATCAGACACACTGGCAAATCTACATCCTCAACCATATCAGCTATAGGCAAGCACAGTGTCTTTCCTTGCCCGCAATGACTGTTTTTTAGGGAGACAGTCAAGAAGCACAAGACATCAAAGTGAGGAAATTTAATTGACAGATAACATTTAATAGAATCAAGAAAAACTCGCCAGGGGATGGCATGTGAAGGGCATGAAACTAGACATGTGCATAAGGTGTATGGCTTTGAATTTTCAGAACCAGTGGAAGGCCAAATTCCATGAATTACCTGAGTCATCTGAAATCTGAAGAGGGTTGATATTAAGATATTTGGTTCCACAAACGTCTGGAGGTGTACATTTACCATGAGATTCAAACTTCTTATCACGTGATGCTGCAGAAACAAAAGTACCATCTTTTGTAGAGCCGACTTGCAGCCTCTTAAATCTGGTGTTAGATGTCATTTTAACTGAAATATGTTCATTCATGCACCTTAATCTCTTCAAACTGCCATTGTCAGAAAATTTTGCTGGAATCCTCTTAATTTTTGGACCAACAGCTTTTGAACTGCCACAGCTCGCATCATTAAGTGGCAGAGTTTTCCTCATTGTTCGAATAGTACTACCTTTTTTCTTGTAATGAGTTTTAACGGAGAATTTCCTATTTTCTGGAATTACATCCAACCGCTGTACTTTTGGCCTCTTCCCTGAATCATTAAATGATCTTGACTTACTCAGACTACCTGCGAAATGGAAGACATTTCGCCATAATCAAAGTATCAGAAGCAGGGTTCAAAACGACTAATACAGAGGATCGAACCAAGATACAAAATTTCCAGAGTTTGAGGATCAAGAATCAATACCAGTTGCCGTTTGAAATAGTTTGGTTTTTGGCAGATTTCGACCTGATTTCCCTTGAATGCTTTTAGTTTGAGAAGAGTAATCATTTGACAGTGACAATTTATGACTAGGCTTCACCTCAAAACCTGGAGCCCGAGCTTTGCTAGAGTCTTCAGATATACAAGAAGGCCGACTTTCTGGTCCAAGTGCTAATCTTTTTGTCATTGACGTACAAATTACATTGCCTGAAGTTCTCTTAGCAGATAGTAGAGAACTTGCTTCGTCTCCACTGCTCTTGTCAGCATCCAATCTTTTAGTATTTATATCATGAAGTTCCTTGAAATCATAAGTATTTGACATTTGACACCCTTGGTTTGATGGATTTAAAGATTCGTACTTTGGACATGTAACAAGCGTTTCAAATTTGGTTTTGGTCATCTTATCTTTATCTTCTGATAGCATGCACTCTTCACACATCCAATTGCTGTAAGGAACTGTCTCCAACATTGGGCACATGCAGTAACTATCACAAATAACAGACAGAGAATATCTAAATCATACTCCATCCAGGAGAAAACATCAAGAAGTGCACAAGCAAAGGATAAACATCCATTGCCGGGACTCATCTAACTATTTAAAATGAAAAGAGCATTCACAGAACAATTTCTTTTTTTTTTTAATTACTTACACATGCTCTGCACCAACATTGCACTTGCTACAAACAGCAAGAAATTCCTCCTGTCCAGCATCTCCGCAGATGTCACAGACCTTTACCTACGTGCCAATGACAGCAACCATCTCATGTCACTCCAGGGTTTCAATCACCCAACAAGCATGAACACATAATCATAAGAATAACTGGAAGTGTCATACAGATTCAGGGAGGCTGAGAACCACTGCATATTTGTCTTATTTATTAGACTAGTGCCATGGAAGTCAAGCTACTATATCAGAATATTTTCAAACTGAAAATGAAGAGCAGCCAGCAAGTACTTCATAGTTTTCCTCTATGTTTACTGATAAATATTATCATTCTTTCATCTTTCTCGTGTTCTCAGGACTAAATTATAAAGTAGTCCAACAAATATCAAGAACAAAATATTAAAGAATAATCAATTTCATAAAATACTACCACACAAGAATGTTAAAAGAGTAAAAAGTTTAAAAGTCTAACCTAAAATACCCCATATCTGAAACAACAAATCCATTAATAACTTCTCTGCTTTTGATTTTAAACACTAAGACTGGTAAAAGAAATGCATTACTTTCTGTTTTAAGGTACAATTTAAACTAAAAAATTAGACAACTACTCCGTGGCAGGACAGAAGATTGCATTAGGCTGGTAGCACTGGTGGGTAGATGGCTGCTGTATAGTGCAGGAGGTCAGGCATTCAACTCCTATTAGCAAACCTACTGCAGTGATTAAAACCAAAAAGAAAAATAATGGACAGAGGACTCCTACATTTTGTTCAAGTTATGTGCACACTTCCAGATTATTGTTCAGAAAGATGTTAATTACTTTCTGCATTATACAAAGAAGCATCGGAAGTCCAGTATATAGTATCAAATAAGCAAAAAAAGTAAGTCCATCATGTAAACACAAATATATATATAAACAGCATGTTAAATACTCTAATTTTCTTTCATTACACAAATCTCCCTTTCTGCAATGTTCAAGTAGGACAGCAACAGTAAATCTGCAAGGACTTAACGTGTCAAAGGAACACACTATAAGTGAGAGCATCTGGGACCATTGCAACTTTAGTAATCAATCAACCAATAAGTTCAGAAACTACAAAATCTAGTTCTATGACCTCAGTACTTTCATCACCAGAATGTCTAATAATCAAGCCACTGTAATGAGGTAATAGGAAAGAAAGTAGAACATACGTCATACAGGGAAGCTGATTCACCATCACACCTCACAAACTCTGAAGGCTGAGTAGGTTTCTCTGCATTTGATTGATCAATTGAGGTTATGCCTCCATTATAACTTGAGCAATTCACGAATCCAGTAGCACCATCTTGTGCAAATATAAGCTTAACAGTTTTTTGGCTATCAGCTACATCTTGTTTGTGTTGCACCTTTTCAGCCCTGACTGTTATGACTGAAGATGATGACCCTGTCTGATCCACGGAGCTACAGCGAAACTGCCCCTAAACAATATAAAATGTTTCAAGTAAACAATTAACCAAAAAAAAAAACTGTTTCAAGACCTTTAAAGAGGTTGGACCAGCATAATAGTCATTCAAAGAAGACAACTAAGCTGAATTGATCTGAAAGGAACTATTAGCTATAATTGAACCCACTGTTTCATCTGTTTTGTCCGTGTAAATACTTTGATTCTCAGCTGAGAAGCATGGGCCAGCTCCTTCTACAAATGAACTTCGATCATTACTGCTATCTAGAGTGCCACCTTCACTCTCATGAGAAGATGCAGCAGAAGTTTCAGAAACCTGCTCAAAATAGGCATCATGTTCACAGGATTTATCTGAAGAACAGTTAGATTTACCTCCCTCTGCAAGAGTTCTCGGCCGAGATGCGTGCAAGAGGCACAAGGGGTGGAGCAGACATTGCACCTTCCAAATTGAGTCGTCATATCAAAATTTTCCAGTTTAAAACCTGTCCAAACAAAACTTACTCTCCCACAACAGAAAAGTAGAAACTACTGAAAGTAGAAAAGCACAAATAACATGAAGATTCCCAAAAAAAATAATAATAATTCCACTTTTGCTATAGATGCAACGCACTATGAGTTCCAGATCTGTTGGCCACCTGGTATGCTTCTGGTATTTTTTTTAGAGTTTAAAAAAACAGAGTATTGTAGGACACATAAAGCAGGAAAGACTCCTGATAATCTTGACAGTGGTAAGTTTATGAGAAAAATTCAGTAGAAGTTACAAACTCGAAGCAATGTGATATATCTTAAATAAGAGATGGAATGGAACTATCACCAAAACTAATGCCTTTCAATGATCTGACACCGTTACCTAAACATATATACGTGCTTAAAAAAAAAGTGCAAGTAAGCATGAAACCCTATATTTCATATCGCACTGAAAAAGCAAAGGCATTTCTTCATCATCCTAAGATTTCCCAAAAAATCTTCACAGAATCACAGTTTAAGATGTATGCACTGCTGAAATAAATTCAGAAAAACAGAACATCAGAAACCTCTCAGCTTCAAAAGGAAAGGATAATATTAACAGCACGGAAATAAAATTACTGTTCGAGTTTTTTTGCCAATGAAGCTTCAAAATATCATCAAATAGTACTTATTATACCTAAAAAAGGAACTATTCCCTTATACATAATACGAAATGTTGCACTATGCACATGTTAACAACAAAAGCAGCAGGGATTTGTTAATATGATGCCAATTTACACCTCGTTTAAATTGTATCAAGATGGTACATGTTAAGCAAACTTAGTTGCTAACCCTGGAATCTGATTTTGTCTGATACTTAAGGGTCTTTATTCCTCGTCTTAAAACGAAATTCAATTCTCCCAGTCGCCATTCACCAACCCATTCCGCTTTCCCTGCTAAAAATCTAGAAAAACAAAAAGCTATATGTGTTCTTCTACTATTAGAAATCCTTTGAGCAACCCTTTTCAAGATATTGTATCCTGCAGAATTTCAGCTGCTTAATACAGAATATCTTATCAATTACTAGAATATAATCAAGTTCACCAGACAAAGGGAAAAGAATAAAGAAAAAAAACTAAATTAAATATCATCAAGAGCACAATTTGATGCCAAGTAAGACAAGAGAAGCAGTAACCACATAAACATATTTCTAAAACCCTAAAACCCCTAGAATTCAACCAAAGCAGCGGAACATTATCAACCAAAAAAAATTTTAAATCCATTTTTTCCGTAAATTACAAGCAATACAGAAAATCAAGCATTGAAGCTAAAATGTTGCGACTGAGGGAAAAAAAAAAGGAAAATAAAAAAGAGAAATAGGAACAAAGGCTTACCGGAATCAGTCGAGCTTTATCGATAAATTTCTTCAAAAGTCTCGAATTTGCAACGTTTTACTAGTTGGAACTTAGGAACTCCAAAAACCAAAAATGAAAACTAATAAACATGCTATATATTTGTTCGAACTTCAAAAGAAAAAAAAATGTATAATCAAAGTGAGAAATTTTCTTCAAAATTATGTACTAGTTGGCTGTTTATTTATCCGACCGCAAATTTGGTTAGACTTCGACCAGAATTTGGTTTATTGACTTTTAAAAGATTTCGAAAGTGGCGGGCTTTGTTAAGTGGGCCATGAGGCCTCCACCGACGTCGTCACTCTTAGCTGTGGCGGAAATTTTGTAAATTTGGTCCTTAATTAAGACCTTGTATTTCAAAAGTGCCCCATAAAAAGTGCAATAGTTATATATATATATATATATATATATATGTGTAAACATAATATCGCTGACAATAATTTTATTTACTAACTTGATTTTTTTTTTTGGTTCACTACAAGGGAAAGGAAGGATGAAAATTCGATAAAATATTTTTTTATATCAATATGAAAAATAATCGTATCTAAATTTTAATAATCGACTATTCAAGAACTGTCCCAAATAATAGAAAAATTAGCGAAGATTTATTAATGGAATCAAACACGTTTACTTTTGCCATTTCTCTTTTCGAATCACGGTACTGGAGATGGACGGCAGCTTCTTTGCTAATAAAGGAATATCACTAGCTTAAGTTTCCGGCAATTGAGCTTTGGATTCCTTTCAACTGTTTTGTTTCTTGCTTTTGCTGGAGAAGGTTTCTGAGTTTCCTGCGAAGTTTCCTTGATTTCTGGTTTGCGGCTCAGTTTCATAAACGATTACCAGGATTAATAAGTTTCTGTATTATACATGAATTAGTTGCTAAAACAAGATAAGAATCCATTCTACTTTATATTAATGGTTTGTGTACCTAATACACACACAAATAATCACATTATGAAGAGAAACTAATGCTTAAAGCGCATCATTTGTGTAGCTGTTAGATCACAAAATCAACTGGGATAAATATTTTGGCAAGTATTTGCTTTTAGTGTTTCGATTCTTCACAATAATACGCAAACTGTATAAATAGAGAATGGAAAAATGAAAAGATTGGCAATGTTCAGAAGGTAGAAAAGGCACCTATCTACATAAGCTTCTTATGGCCAGCGTTGGAAGTAGCGCAGTTGATGTCCTGTTGGTTTTTCTGTCAACTTCGACGGAGTTGTCGAGAACAATCAGGAATTGCACCGGACAAGCTCAAATCCTTCGGCAACAGGGTCTAACACCGCAACATTTATGTCCTCGCACTGACAGATGAATCATGTTATCCTGAATGTGACTCTGAGCTAAACCAGCTCTTGAACTTGCTGACCAAGCAGTATACAATTTCTCTGCAACAGATTGGCAGAATCCGTTGTCGCTAAGATCTAAGCTTAGCAAATGTTTTGCCCTGGAAATAGCAGCTAAAATATCTGGAATGAAATTAGATTCTAGACGAAGTTCTTTCTTTTGAGATGAGCCAATAGGATTGTCACTCAGTCCTGATGGTGCAACTTTCTCCCAGTTGTGTCGTCATCACTGTCTGCAACTTCAAGCTGATTGTATTCTGCGTTGACAGTACACAACTCTTGCGGAGAACCCTGAACCTCTTTGGATGCATATGCTTCCGGAAGGTTGGGGTTGGTTTGCTTGAAGTTTGAGCTTTCTTTCAGTGGTATTAAGCAACATTCTGGAGCGTTGCTTTCTGGATGGATGTTTTCAGCTAAGTTCAGCTCTTCAAGGGAGGAGTTGCACGCTAGTTCCTCAAGTATCCTGAGGATGCCAACCGGGCCAAGTTGGCATTTGCTTAACACCAAAACTTTCAAACCACATTGAGGATTAGCAACTAAAGACGCCAATGCCTTGCCACCCTGATTTCATGCTTTCTGTTAGATTATGAAGAGGAATAATTGCAGAATTTTCTCACTCAATTAATTCTATGATCTTTGTCAAATTCTTATTAATGCCAGGTAGATGCATCTCTAGTATTAATGAGGGGCATGCGAGGTTTACTAACTTGTGATGCAGCAAGTTTACCTTCTTAATTATGTTTCACGTAGCGACACGCAACACTCGAATGCATGTAGGACTTTATGCATGAACATCTGATGTTAACCAAATGTTTGTAATGATTGCCTTCTGAAAATTACTCACATCTTTTATGGAAATCCATGGTGATAAGCACAAGCAGGTAAAGCATAATTCCGCCTATAGCAAATCCATTAGCATGTTTATTGACAGATTATCGTTGTAAACTCCATACTTCAAAAGAAAACGAAAGCTATCGCATCTCAGGACAAAGAACACATCTAAGAAATACATAAGCAAAAACTAACATCACATGCTTCTTAGTAGAAAAGACAACATACCTCTTGCATAAGAGGATTCCCTCCAAGATTCAGCTCAAGAATACCATAAATCAAAGACACTTCAATATTCAGCCTAATAATATAGTCACATGTCAGTCCACATGATGATAGATCAAGCTTCACCAGTTCCTGGGTCTCATTAGCTAGCGACTTAGTTAACTGTAATGCCCCATCCTGCAAAAGGCCTCCCACGTAACTTCATCAAGTTATTGCTCCCTAAAGCAGATATGCTAATACACTTACTGTTCCTATGGAGCTGCCTCCAAGTATCAACCCGGACAAGCATGAATTTGTGGCAAGCTGGCAAAGGCTATCAACACAGGTTTGCTTAACTTTATGCCAGTTAGGTTGAGTTCTTGGAATCTAGTAAAATCAACACAAAAATTTTTGTCTTTGATTTTACATCTTAATTTGAACAAATTGTGAATTAAAAAATAATTGAGATCTGTAATGAAGCTACACCTGTTTAAGCTACAAATCTTCACAAAAAGGTTGATAATGACATTGCCAGATATAGGGTTGTTGTGTCCTGTGCAAAAACAGAGAATTTGGAAAGTCTTAGAATAGTGCATAAGGAGGATTTTGAAAATGACTCATCTGATTGAGCAGTACCTAAAGACAGATGCGCAAGTACAGATCCAGAATCCAGTGAATCAGCAATCTTTTGGATTGTTCTAGACGTGATAGAACACTTCTCGATATTCAAAGTATAAAGAGCTGGTGAAGAAAGCTTTCTTAAGAACAATGATAAAAAACAGGAAAATCTGTGCACTTAGGAGAATGGTAAGAAACAAGAAGATGGTTGCAATACAAAAATCCAGACACAATATAATTCTAATATTGATCTTTAATATCTTAACTTACAGTGCAACTGATTAGTAATCAGCAACTTACAAGTAAGCAATATCTCCAGCATGTTAGCACTAAAATGCACGCTTGCAGACAAAATTACGTATTTAGCACAGTACAGTGCTTTCTCAAATATGATTTCGTTCATGAGAATAAGGGATACAGACAGAGAAAAACAAAACAAAGAGAGGTTCACCTTTACACTTCTTCAAAATGGTGGAAAGATAAGAAGCACATGCA